CGTGCCTAGAAGTTACCCAAAACACGTGCGCTGATTTTATTCAGTACCAAAGTGTTCGATGAACGTACTTGAAATAGTTGAAGCCAAAAACAACAGGCAAAGGTTGCCACAGAGTACACTCGCCCGGCAAGAGACGCAGCAACGGATCCGACTAACTTCTAGACAAGATAGAAAACAATTCGAAACGGTTCGAGAACACGCCAAAGGCTCACGTCTCAACCTCCCCGCTTCCCCAAGCTGGAGGGCTATCTCTCGCTTTCACTAACCGTTTTGACGTTCTACCGCGCGTGTGGCCCTCGCGCCAACAACTATGACCAAATGACTTTCTGCAAGCGGAAACGTGGTGGTCCGGGGCCTTGCGCTGACTTAAATAGTCGCTGTAAATGTAGGCGTAGGGGCTGGTAGCACCGCATCTTCATTTGCCCGTAACTCTCGGTCGCAAGGTTAAAAAGATGCCGCAGTGCCCGGGACAATGTATGTGATTCGACGGTGTTTGAGAAGTTGCCATATGCCCGATCAAGCGACACCGTCAAATCCTCTCCCTCCCCATCTCTCTGTCCCTTAGCCCCCTCCTCCTGGTCACCGGCAAGTAAGTCCAGAAGATTACTCTGGTGACTTCGTCGCTGACAGATTGCTTCCACGGCGAACGCTCCACTGCTTGCTTTCGGTCGCGCGGTCCAAATTGGAATCGGCCTTCAGCACCCCGTTGAGAGCTATGTTAAAGAGCGACTATGACCCACCATGATACCCGCCTCACGTGGAATAGTTTGCAGTCTACAGCAGGCTAACTTTATTTGGACGCCAGTTTCTACACGTAGCGATATATTTTGTGGATGCGTATAGCTTGAGTCACACAAGGGCAAGAAACCTGCCACATTGGAATTTGTAGGAAGCACGTCAAACATTTTCATCGTGAAGGCATCGTCGTCGTTTTTACCAAAACAATTTTCCGTCGCAAGCTACAGCGGTGACTAGATGGGGTGAAGCCCGCGGACAGAAGGGCCAGTCGAGAAGATCTCAGCGACAAACAAGCGCTTCAATCCCCGTCTTTCACCAACATACCCGGCTAGGTCTTCAACTGCTGCCTGATCACGGCGAATATGCGATGGAGAATTCTGCTTGAAGATGGCGAAGTCTACTGAACGCTGGCATACGCTTGGGCTTGGGCTTGGTTGCAATTGTAACTACACGAACAAGCACCTGGCGACTCAGACCTAATGATAATCAAGAAATGTGCCACGAATCGGTGGCGTTGTGTTGTGCCACAATGAACAGTCTGCATCTCATCGGTTGCAAACATCAGCAGTGTAGATATCGTGCAGTCGTTAATCGCTCGTCTGTTCTTGTTATGGCCCACTCATCCTTGCCCACCCACCAAGATGTTTTCCATGACCACGGCATAATGATGCCCGAACGCGGCGTGTGAAAATGATGAAACTGGGTACTACTTTTCGAAGTCCTTGTCGCTGCTGCCCATTTCTCCATCGAAACGGCCATTATCATCCTGTAGGCCCCTTTGCCTTGCTGCCGTTATTGTGAGAAGAGCCAGTACAGGCGGAAATCCCGCCAGAAGCCCTCCACTCTTTATAACCCGCGCAGTCGGCTTTGAAGCCGTCATCATCGCCATCGTTACCCAGTAGAGCAGAGGCAGCAGCTCTTTGTCCTTCCGCGCTCTTCGGTACACCTGCCTTCGACACATGTTGCACCCGCGAGCGTCTTTGCCGAAGATGGGAATGCATAGCGCACACACCGGACATATGGACCCACTTTTCCATATCCTCGCAGAACGAGCTATTGCTCGTCGGCCTCAACAACTTCGTTGCCTCCCCCGTGCTCTTTTCGACACGTTACAAGAACAACATCTGCGGCAAAAAAAGGTACTGCTGTATGGGGAGCCGGGAATACAAATCCCACCGCATTGTTTCGAAAAGGAGCTTATTTTTTGGTTTGGAACCAAGCACAAAGTCGTCTGATTTTCTGATTGGCGCGCGCGCGCTCGGGTGAACCAAACAAATGATCTCGCACCGCGTGTTGGGTGGCTTGGTGCGCCCGGCGCAGTTGTAGACGGCAAAAATAAAAGAACCGCGCGGCGAGTTTGCCGGCAACGATAAAATACAGTAAACTGCCCACGGGTGTGGTAACCCGCCGCATCTATGATGTTCCGGAGCGTGATAGCTCTGATGTGTTGACGCTGGTGCTGTGATAGCTGTTGTGATGGCGTGATAGCCTAGAGGCGTGAAAGCCTGGCAGCGTGATAGATGGTGGATAGGTAGTATGGGCACGGGCGTGATAGCCCAGGGCGTGATAGCCGGGAAAAAGGAAGATGAATAAATCAAGGGCACGTGGCCAACACCGTTGCTGACACGCATACCCAGAAAACAATAATATGTGGCAAAGATGGTACCACCATTCCCCCAATTTATTACAACTGCGGAACCCCCAAAATCCCCCGCTCCATCTTCTAGGAACATTCCTCGGTTGCAATAATCTGTCAATGCTGTGAGTACATCCAACACCGCGCACCTCGGTGGCCATGTGGCGATGTTGGGCGCTCAGCACACCATAGGCCAGCAGTAACAAAGCAACCATCAAGAGGGGAGGGCTGGACGCCGGTGAAGACTTCCTCTGGGGCAACCATCACGGGGGAGGGAGCAACCAAGAGATCCACACATCCGGCCAGCCCGTGCGGCCGTGCCTTTCGCCGGGAGGTCTCACTCGTCAGAGCACCGGCAAGCACGCAGCGGAGCCAGGGACGGGAGCAGGAGGGACAAGGGCAAGCACAGGATGACGTGGACACTACTGGGACAGAGGATACCGACTGTCAGTGCAATCTTGGCGAACATCAACACCAGCCGGGCTTTTATGTAAGCCTGGCCAATTGGCTGTATGGAATGGGTACTGGGTGCTAGTTACACAAGAGTGGAGCCTAAAAAACAAAACATGCCGCAATAATGTTTGTCAGCCATTGGTCGAGGGGCAACAGTCCCTCCAATTAATCTGAGCTCTTGCCAGCCAAAAGGGTGACTTGGCTTCAGGATCAAAAATGTCCCCAAAACACGTGGGGACACTTTTCATAGTGAAGCCACGTCAGCAATTTTTTCCAAGCGTACCAGGCGATGTACAGTTTCGCGACCTAGGGGACACGCGCGCAGCTTGGCATATGGTGTACAGCAAGTCAGAGGCCGAGGAGAGGCATTACACCACGTTTCACGCAGCGTACCACCTCAGCCAAACATGATAGACCAAGAGTTCTCAAGTGTGCTTCACACAGCGGAGCCTAGGGTGACTACGGTGCGGTAAATGGGCATTTGAGGGCTGTGTCCCCAAATTTTCCCCATCTGGGCTTCCTTCCAGTACTGCACTAAAGGAGAGTTAAACAGCGTTGGCGTTTTAAAAGGAGAAATAGACAAAGGTGGGAATACCCACCCCTTTCCCGGACAAAAGTCGGCACTCGGATATCTAGTTTGTGCGGACAACACATATTGGTGGTTCCAAACGCCTCAAAAACCCATTCTGGCACCTAAACAGCATTAAACCCCAGGGACCATACACAGCACAAAGGGCATCAATTTTTCTGACTTTTCAGGCACGTCTTTGACCCAAATACCGCGGCGGCGCCCAAGGCCTCAACAGCGCGCCCACTTCTATCCGACATCCAGGTGGGTACCCACCGGCTTCTACTACTTTTTCATGTGCCCATTTCTGCCCATGTTTTTTCAGATTACAGTCCGAATTGTACCAACTTTTGGCCACTTCCGGACATCCAAAACCCTCATCTATGTCACCGCACAGCAGAACATCGAATAGCCGCGGAACTTCTTCTCAACTCCGTATCCGTGGCATCTTTCGCAAACAAGAATACCGACTGCGGAACGCCGTGGTGTTTCGTCTGAGATTCATACAAACAGCAGCAGATTTTCTTCAAGGTTGAAGTAGGGGTCTGGCTCCTAGAGGTACTCCCCGTGTAGATACCAATGTTAGGTAGAGGGGAATGCAGCTCGTTCTCGTTCGCAGACAAGCACCCATTCACTCGGGCCGCTGAAAGTTGAACAGGGTCGATTGAATATTGAAAAGCGGTTGTAGGTTTGGTCTACATAAATACGGTCGCTCTGGCCGAGGTCACCTTCCGCGCTGGTTTACCTTTCCCCTCCGGTCGCTCGTCTGAAACCCTCTTGGCTATCGTCCAGAAGAGCCTTTGCATCCAATGATTAATAGTACCCCTCGCTATAGTAGTTACTCAAAAGTAAGATATCTGACTTTTTCACCTATCTGTTCACAAGCAGTGCACCCGCGCTTGCGAGACATTCGCATGTACCCCGGCACCAGGACGGATCCGCGTTCGTATTGGCGTCGGCAGAAAGCATTCTGTGGGTGAAATATGAGCTCGAAGAAGGCTCGACTCCAGTACCTCAACAAATCATTCCATGACCCAATCCTGTGAGCCAAAAATCTTCCCCCAAACGAGGTTTGCCCTCGTCTATCTGCCGCTCGAACGGTGGACGCGTTCTACCCCTAAACGATGTGTCGTGCGGGCAGCATGCGTCCTACACGAATTCACAGTTCTCATGACGGGGCAGATGTGTAGGCAACCACTGCAGTCGATGCACTGCCCGGGAAGACCTTCTTGTTGCCCTTGGTCTGGCCAATGCTGGCTTGGCTGGATACGGGGGCTACAGTGCAGACAGAGACCATCTCATCATCGAAGACAGCCCAGCGGTCGTCGGCAAGCTTGTGACTAGCCGTCCAGTGGCCGGAGCCGACGGTGTCACCGTGATGGCTGGCAATGGCCGTGACGTTGGCGATGCCGGATGTATGTTCTGTACCTCCCGGAGTAGTAGAAGAAGCAGCAACAGCAGCAGCAGGAGCGAGGATACTTTATGTTTTCAGCTCGGATGAGCCAACTGTTGCGTACGTGATGAAGCACCGGGCTACCTAGTGAACCGGGAAGTGAACAGGCCCCATGTCGCACGTGAGGTGCACGGCGGAAAATCTAGTGGAAACTATCTCGACGCGGAGAATGTGGTATCTGTACGGGCGATTAGGTCGAGCGATTCAGGTCAATACCACTAATGTCTTCTCAACCAAAGGAGGTCGCCGTCAGACCGTTCCTGCTCAAGAGTGGCCCAACCGGCGATATTTTCGTGTTTGATTTCTCGCGTTTTTCATATCGTTCGTTCGCCTATTATATTTTGCGGTTTGACAACGCTTTTCCGCTCTATATGTGCGTCGAGCGCGCACGACTCTGCCAAATACAGCGAGCTTCGTATAATGTACCTAGTCGGAGTCCCTCGCGTGTCATAACAGATATATGAAGCGGGGAGAGCAGTTGTTGCTAAAACACGGTTCAAGAGTCTGAGTTCACGGTATGGCGAGCAAACCGATTCCTCTGTCAATGACGGTGCCATACCACGACGTTTGGTGACAATAAAGGTCTGATTACCTCCGAAACTGACTGTCTTGTCCAGGAGTAGGTCGACGGCGACCTTGTCCTTCGCCTTAATGTAGCCGCCACACCTGTGTCACACGTGATGCGCGCGATGGAACAGAAAGGGGCAGGGGGAAAGGGAAAGTTGGAAGATTATTGCTACAAAGTATACGCTGATGGGCTATATCTTCGTAACGTTAAGGTCCGTAAGAGTGGCCGGTCTTTTTGGAGGGAACGAAGAGAAGGGGGGTGGGCTAAAGTAGCCCAAATCAATTTTGAACTTCGGCAGCAATTGCGATGAAACGCAATGACTGAGACTCTGTGCTGGCGTGATTCCTAACACTCTTTCCTGATCTGGTCTCAATCCCCGAGACTATTCTTCAGAGTCGCACAGTCCCGGATATGTCGAAGATACTCGTGTGCCTTGCTATGGACATACATAGTGAACGTATGGGTGCACACTCACAACGTGCGCTGAAAGCGCCCCACGCTGACGATGAGCTCAGGCGGAATCACAGACCACTTTTCTTTTGACAGCATGACCTCGTTCTTCGAGAAGGACGTCCTTGGCGTCCTCTTGTTCTTCTCCGCCTGGATGGGGCATGAATGTGTGGAAAAAGTTGCCTCAGGCACTCGTTTGTGCGAGATCACCGGTACCTGTAGGTAGGCGGGATCTATCCCCATCACTCCGTGCACACACTACGTAATTGGTACAACCAGTCGAACCGGTCACGAGAGGAAGACTCGGCGTTTATACATCCCCAAGAGTAAGGTGAGTCATTTTGAAAGCCAAGGAAAGTGTAACCGTCACCTAAAGCAGTGCAAGCTGAACCTGAGGCACAAAAAATGTGATGACGGTTTCGTAAACTGCCCGTACCTTCAAGCACTCCAGGCACGGGGTGTCGGAGTTGTCATTCCTCTTATGGATGGTCTGCTCTCGCCGTCGCATGCAACACAAGACGACATCGTGTCGCACAGGGCCGGGCAACGTCATTGATTGGCCCAATAGCATGTCGCGGCGGTAAGATGGGTTGAAGGTGTTCAAACATCAGCGCATTATACATTCAGTGGATTGGCGCACAAATCGACGAATCGAGTACAACATTCGTTGCTTCCAGAACTCTGCCAAAACGGTGACGTCCTCTATTTACCAAGCAAACGAAGTTAAACGCGGGTTCCTGCATGAATATGTGTGCATGATGGCTTTGTCTGTGTGTACGTCCTCTGTTGTCCATCCCTCTATCGGGTAGTTACTGGTACGCGGAGGAAGCATTTCCTCGCAAGGCTTGCTATCCATTCCAATACTCACACTCAACCTCTTGCGACTTTCCAGCAAATGAAAACGTCTGTCCGCCCCCTTTCTACGTCCCCGTGACCGGGGGGAATACGGTATGAGCGGGCGAAGGGGACGACAAGGGGCCACCCTCGAGCAAAGGCACCAGAATCGCTATGCGGGGATTAAAAAATCTCTTCGAATGCCCACGAACGCACACGCACTTTCTCACATTCTCTACGAGTTTCGAAACGTCCCAGCACGCGCTCGGTGGGGCGGGTTTGGCCCCCTTGCCCTTCCCATTTCCTCTCTTGCTGCCCTTCTTCGCTTTGACACCTGCTGATGATGGCTGAAGCCCATGCATGGACATCTGGAACACCCAGCAAGGGTATTTGTCCCCCCCGTATGTTTTCTGTGATGGTCCGGCGCATTGAGCGGTCCATACGGCCAGATGGATCGTTCATTGTCGCCGTTGGCGGGTTAGGCCGAAAAAATGGCGCGGAAAGGGTCAAGGAGGGGAAAAACAAGAATGATCGCGACATTCGAGAGAAAACTGCTACGAAGGTCTGGATGTATCCCGAACACCCTCACAATTCAGAATCTTATGTACCTCGACAGGATCAAACGTTTCTCTGCAAGTTATGTGTATCGGACAATATTAGCAACGATATTGGCACTACATGCCCTCCGAAAAGTACCGTTTCACTCCACTATACATGTAGTACAATTATGACAGAGCGAACCGAAAAAAATCAACATTCTTCGCCCGGGAGTTCCGCAAACTGATATGCTTTCATATCGCGGTATGAAAAAGAGGGAAGCGAGGGGCGAGGGATAATGTAGCACTCAAACAGGATTTCTACGGGCAAGCTCAACATCACAAATATGACAGCATCGCTAGCCTCAGGTAGAAGGGTTCATGCAAGGTTTGATCTACATGTATTTCCAAAATAACAGATGTCGAAGCCGATTGTCCTAGTCCCTTCATCCCTCCCATGAAATCTGCGATGGATTCGTCACCACGGTGTGCTCGAAACACTGCCGAGGAAAAATATTCCTAGTTTTTCCAACTCAGATGTTTCGGCAGGAAGGGCTGTCGTGTGTCCAACAATTGGATTTCGCATGACCGCCGAAGGCACATTTCAAAGGGAGGCAGCAGTCCATGCAGTGATCCACACAATACCAAATGCACTAGGCTATATGGCTATGGTTTCGTCCCACAAATGGTTTTTTGCAGTAGCACCAAATTCGTTTCCAGTCTCACGTGGCACATTTGGCAGAAGGTCCGCGTTTCCATCTGTCCTCTCGCGGAATCCACCAGCGAAGATTGTGACTGGGCGGGTGAGAAAAACGTAGAAAACGGGCGCCAAATGTATGGTATATGCGGAAGACATGACGGGGTTGGGCTGGACTGTTCAATGACGAAGGCGAGAACCAATTTCAGGGCGAGGATCTCTTAACATTGACCCCCCACATGCTCGGAAACGACAACGGACGAGCGTAATGCCGGCGAAAGCACTCCGCAGCTAGCTAAAACTGTCGCTAACCTGGTACCTAACTGATCATTGTTTGGTACACGTCCACGAAGCCTCCAATTCTAGCCCACGTATGCTCAAAACGAAGTTCGTTCCCAGCCTTGAACCACAGTTTACAGTTATTGGCGGGTCGTTGGGGGTCTCGGCTGCCAGTCCTGGCCTCAGCGGTGTTTCTGTCAGTGCCATGTACAGGCCGGAACCCGCAAGTATCGTTCCGGTGCCAAACGGTCGGCCCAATATTGTCGTCACTTGTAGTTGAATTCCTCACCTCCGCGTCCACTGTCTCGCTGTGGACCTTGTCGAGGATGGTGCCAATCGTGTTGGCAAGGTCGTCCTGTTCTCCATCTTGGACCTGCGACTCAGACAATGACATGATGGCCAGTACCCGGGGTCGGCGGAACAGAAACATGGTGACAAACATGGTCACTTTCGGAGCCCGTGGGGGGTTGGGATTGCGGGGATGGAACAGACCACTTGCTTGGCGGCGATAGTTTCATTGCAATTGAGATGGAACCGCACCGGTGTGGCATGCAAACAAATGAGTCCAACGGGTTTCCTTGACAAGGTTGCTTGTTACACGGCATCGGCTGAAGTCTCCTGAACAGGAAAACGGCAGCAACCACATGGCACTACGTTCGGTATGAGTCTCTCGGTCACGGACGGCCACCCGCAATCACCAGTTATCTCAGAAACATCCAAACACCGTGTTTCCAGGCTTACTCTTACAATAGGCATGTTCACGCCAGTTGTTGCCGCGGCGATGAACTCTGGAAAGTGATTCACGAAACAAAATGCTTCTGAATGCGACGTTGAATGATGCGCGTACCATCACCCATTGCATGGCAGTCTACGCCATGTGTTTGGCTTCGAGTATCGCTCTACTTGCCATGTTCCCGCTGAAGACGTTGAAGAAGGTCCCAATGAGCTCCGTCGGGTTCAGCGGGCTAGCGGTGCCCCCGGACTCTTGCAGGGCCTAAAACACCCAAATTTTAGCGCATCGGAAAGCGTGCGTGAATGGCACGGAGTGCAGTTCACGAGCAGTTTAGATCCTAGCTGAAGAGAGGTTTGTTTTGCTGGTGTTTGACGCGTGTCTTCCACAAGAAATCGAATGTGAGTGGTACTACAATGTAACCAATGCCACCACCCAGATAATAAGCTCAAGCAGTGTTGCACCCCACAGTGGTCAACGCGCGTCTAGTTTGACATAGTTTTCGATGTGCGTTTTACTCTCTCACCCGCATCGTCCTCGAGACCGCCCAGGTCAGCTCCTTTCCTAGCATTGGATATGGAGACGGTGAACGGGGTGCAACAAGGAAGGAACTTGAGAAATATCTGGACGTGAGATACGAACGATGGGGTCATCTGATATCTCTCCACGCTAGAGTGTACGCCCCCGTCCAGTTACATGTAAACCGTTTTTTTTACAGGATTTTCTTTTCATCTATGCCGAACAACATGGAACACCGATCTGCACTCATCGACTGTTCAATATCCCGAAGAAAAAACGTTCTTCGGTAGATAAACATTGGCACCTCTACGCGAGAGGCGTGAGCTCGTCTTGTGTCTTATGTACTCACCCCTCGGAGGTGCAAGTTCGGTCGCGTCTGGAAAGTTGAGAATTGCGGCATGGCATATTGGCAATGCCCTGATCATCTGAATCGCCGAAAGCAAGAAGCAATCATTCTCGCGGTTGATCATCCCCCTGAGGAATACACCAATGGACAGTGGCAGAGCACGATCGATGGACATTGTCGTGAGGCGTGCTGCGTGTTATCATGCGTGCGCTCCCCCCCGCCCTCGCCGGTCTCCCACACGTTCTACAGTTTGCTAATTTGCCCATAGGTGCCCCATCGGCTGCCGATGGGCACATGGGGCACCCATGGGCTGCCCATGGCAAAATGCCCACGGGCAAGCCCATGGGTAGCCCTTGCGCAGTCCATGGACGGCCCATGGACTATCAATGATTTCCCTTTCAACCGGAACGGGGTACTCCTAAACAACAGATTATCTGCTTCGGAAGGGGCATTACAACGGCTATGAAGCCTATCACTATCCCTAACCCTAACCCCTCACGATACGCGTTAGGTTGGCGTTGGGTGGCTAAGTTCTAGCTTGATGTGCCGGTCGCGACGTTCTAGAGTTAAGTGCCCACTCGTGGGCAGTTCATGGGCTGCCCATGGGTGCCCCATTGCCGTTTTGGCAAACTGCCAGTAGTGCGGGAGATTACCCCGCGCACACCGCATAAGTTCCAGAAAACCCGCCGTGCTGTCAGCTGTTGAGACAAGGTCTACAGCAACTTCCCAACGCGCGTTTTGTACTTGTCGTCTCACCGGTGGTTGGGTATGATCCGAGGAACTGAAGGCGCTCCAGGGCAGGATTTGCCATCCGGGGGAGGCTGTTGAAATGCAATGGTTGGGAGAGCTATGTGGTTGAGGAGTACGTCAATGGCGTAGGCTTCGACTTCCATCAGTTGTCAGGATCTCAAGATGTACCCGGAGTGCGTACGATGCTGCGCCTCGTGGTGGTCTAAACGGTACGTGTATCGCGCGACAATGACGTTGAAGAGAGTTTCCCCGAACAGTTTTCCCCCAAGCATATGGGCGCGTGTATACGACGTGCACACGATGAAGGGCTTTGTCTCGGCGCTTTGGAAAACACGAAGGCCAAACCCATGTGGTAACCAAGACGGGACAAAGAACGCCCTGCGATACAGGGAACGAAAGTACCCATCAAGCCGAGTCAATACCTAGCGATGGACGGTTGAGCAATTTCTTATGACCCCACGTCAATGCTTCCGAACTGAAACGGATAGGAACACCACCCCGCCACACCCAAACCAATGCAAACTCTGCTTCTCGCCTTCCCCCGGCCAACCTGACCATGCATACATGCATACAACTCTTACCTGGGGATCTCCAGGGGGGTTGCTGAGAACACGACCATGATGGTGACGAAGCAGCATACGTACACCAAGTCACCAACGGCGGGCACAGGCATGATGGTTTTGGGGATGAGGGCGGGGGTTAAGTAAATATCAGTTGCCGAGCGATCTCTCTAAACCCATCGTGGTTGACTCGCGCATGCACGAAGGTTGTTGTACCGCACCTCCCCCTGCTACGATAGCACTGTATTGTACTTAAGGCTTCGGTTGTGGATGTCCAAGGCGGATTTTCACATAGGATAGGAGGCATCTCTTTGCGCATAAAAAACCACGTGCCTGTTGTGGAGGCACCGAAGCAATGTTGGAACACTGAACACATCGCTGATGACAGAAGTGGACGGGTGGGGCAGGTGAGCATCGCAAAACCCGGTCAGAAGAAAAATGTAAGTGTCTGGAACGGCCAGGTACGGCAGCGAGACTACCTCGAGGATGACGCTCTTGCCGTTGCCGTGGCTGCCGCTGCTTCTGCTTCTGCTGTCGCTTCCGCTTCTGCGTTCGCCTCCGCTTCTGCTTCTGCTGCTGCTGCTGCTGCTGCTGCTGCCTTGGCTGCCTTTGCTGCCTTCGCCGCCTTTTTTGCCTTTGCGGCCTTTTTCGCCTTTGCGGCCTTTTTTGCCTTTGCGGCCTTTGCTGCCTTGGCTGCCTTGACTGCCTTGGCTGCCTTGGCTGCCCTGGCTTCCTTGGCTTCCTTGGCTGCCTTGGCTGCTGCCGCCGCCTTGGCTGCCTTTGCAGCTGCAGCTGCTTCTTCCCCTGCTGCCGCTTCTGCCGCCGCTGATGCTTCGGCCTCTACTTTCGCTGCTGCTAGTAGTAGTACTACTACAACTACTACTACTACTGCTGCTGCTTCTGCTGCAGCTTTTGCTGCTGCTTCTGCTGCTGCTTCTACTTCTGCTTCTGCTGCTGCTTCTGCTGCTGCTCTTGCTGCTGCTTCTGCTTCTGCTTCTGCTTCTGCTGCTGCTTTTGCTGCTGCCGTCATCGCTGCTGCTTCTGCTGCTGTGGCTTCCTCTGTCGCTGCGGCCTGCTCGCATGTTTCGGCTTCCTCTGCCTCTGCTCCTGATCCATCGGTGGCCTGAGCGACCTAACGTCGGATGTAGCGTTGGTTGACCATAGGGGGGGGGGGTAATGAAAGGCTAGCTAAAATGCACCTTGGTGGCGTGTCGTTGGCGGTGCGACCTTTGGATGGCTGTTCCAGGAGCAACTGTGCCTCGCTTAGGCTAATCATCTGCATATATTGTTCACGTCCACACGTGGACTGATTAGCGAAACACCGGCAATTGTCACAAACCGTGAACTCATCCGCAGTACAGTTTAGAGACAGTTTCAATCCAAAAACAGTCATCGAGGAGTTCGCCGAGCACGAAAGGACGAGCAAACGAGCAACTGGCGGCGACGATGGGTCAAGAAACGCATGCGGCTGGGAACCCGTCCCGTTCGACGCCGATAAAATGCAGTCGCTGACCTTTCCGGTTGCGGTCACGGTCAACTGCTGGCTTGGCAAGAATGCCGGAACCCGGATCACTACGCCAGCGCTGCTACTGTACATGCCGGGCCACATTATGTGTCAGCAATGCAAGGAGAACACGGGTGGGGGCAGCGGAGCGAAGAGGGGAGAATCGTTTGGGTTTCGAGATTGACCGATGCTTTCTTGTATGTCAGAGCGAGGAACGACAGCACTATTGCCTGCGATTCTCGTAGTAGTGTGGTCAATCTGTGTACCACGTCTGAAGATTTCTACCGCGGGATATATATATCGTCTTCGCGGGTCCCGAAGAGTCGATGACTTTGTTGGGCCGTAGCTAGCGAGATACAACTGTTGGAGCGGGAGTATCCTCTTGCCTTGATTCACCGTGGTGGTTGGACCTATCGTGCACTCCTTTCTACTTTGAGAAGCTAGAAAATTCCCCGGTGTGACAGGATATGCGGAACGGGTGATGATCGACAACCGTCTCACTGAAAGCCTCACATCCAGGGGTTCCTCCTCGTTGTGACTTCGTGGTGCTGTCCGTTAGCCATGGTGGTGTTGGTCACCATGTTCTTCGTGTGCTGCCCCTGGTAGAGCCGAACGATGGCGTGCGTTTGGGAAACATGCCGAGACAGACGTGATGAACGTGGTTGAGACAGCACAGACGCATAATCAACTATTGCATGAGATCGCACTCCAGTCGTCGGTTTTGGGTCTAGAATGGGATCTACAGTGTAGTACATGTCGATCTTATCAACACAACACAGAATATTTTGTCCACTACACCGTGCATTTGTTTCTGTCGAGAAGGCTGGGTTTTTTTTGTTGGCATCCGCACATGTATTCGTCTGACCATTGAAAGTACGTCCGTCTCAGTGAAGACACAAGAAAGTTTGTAAAGGCCATGATCAGGCCCCGTGAGGTGGCGTCATGGCTATGTATGGTACTTTCCGGACTTTCCAGACAGTTATGGTATAGCTTACAGAAGAAAGCTGCATGTGTCTAACTGTCTGTGTTCGCCCCATATTCTGTCTGTGTTCGTCCCATCAGTATATGCTCGGCGTCGTAAAATCGCCGATGTCGTCGCCCGAGTTGATTCTCTTGTCCATCGTCGCTGCGGATTGTAGCACCTGGTGTTCTTGCTTTTGGCGAGACGTGCGACTGCGGTGAGGATCGTACAAATCAATGTCACGCCATACAACGCTAATTTGTCGCACGAGGCGAAGGTGGCATTCACATTTGCAAAGGGCACTGAAGTGCCACACCCACCGTGCTTGGTTTTCGTTACAGATCAGACCCAAAGGTGGTATTGTATTAAACAAAGTTGCCCCCGTTTTGCTCACCCCGCTGTCCTCAACAGTAGGCAACGACGCCGACGAAGATGCCGAACTAGCAGGTGAGACAGCCTCTGTCATCGTCAACGACTGGGCCGGCACCGCCGACCGTCCCAGGTGTTCCACAGGCGTTGGCGATACTATCGACATGGGAGCCGCGCTTGTGGCATCGCCGTGCCCAACTCGGTGCTTGACCTCGCCATCACCTCGTCCCAACCTTGGAATAACGTTATGACGACCGGACATTGGGCATCAGACAGTTTAACGACAGCCTTCAGATCAAATGCATTGTATTCTGTATCAGTATCAAGTATCACGTAAATGCACCGCCGATACTTCGCTCAATCGTACAGGGCAACGATCATTCGAAGCGACAAATTGAGTTTTGGCGCGTGGTTTGGCGCGTCGAAGCACATCGCCCTCGACACCAGACATTACCGCCTATTTGCCGCGGGTTGTACACTTGGAACACCCGGGGCAAAATCATCGAATACATGGTGACACCTACCAGTAAGGAGACAAGAGCAACGTGCCAAAAGTGTCTCAAGTCTCAAGCTCCAAGAAATCGTGTCTGTATCATCGCCTACAGAATGGCGAGATTAGGACAAGAATAATTGCGCTGTCCCTTAGGCTACATCAAGGCTTTGAGCATGGCTGACAACCCCGGTTCCTCCTCTGTCCTACAGCTTGAAGTAATTATTCCCGCAGCATCAGAAGCAGCTGGCGAGGAAGGCTTCTGATGCTGCGGGAATAATTACTTCAAGCGGTCGGATGCGGAGCTGTTGCAATGATTGTCTCCTTGGCCTGGGTTGTTCTCGTCAAGCGGTGCGTGGCTCTGTCACTGTTTCAGAACTGCAGGTCATGGACACTGCATATAGCGCGCGCAACAGCACGGAGCCGCGACAATAAGTTTGCTTCGGCTGAAGGAGCTCGTTCGGGACGGTATCGATGTTCAACGCGTTGTTATTGCGCGCTTAGTTTCCTTTGTTAGCGCCGGAACAGTCAGCGGCGCGGCACCCACCTGTCAATTTTGTTTGTCGGCGTTTCGAACACGGAGAAGGTGCTGAGCACGCGTCGGAGACCGACGAGACGAGACCCAATACCCATCCTTCGCTAGCGAGTCGCTGTTGCTGGTTTGGTACTGGGAACTGGTGTCTGATGCGGGTGTGAGTGTCCAGAGTGTAAGTGAGAGGTGTGACGGGATAGAATGCTCTGGGTGAGCCTGTGGATTTTTCAACGAGACTCCGGGGTTGAACCGATTAGCGACTTGTTGATCAGGCCGTTTTTTGTTGAACCGCAACAAATGTACGTGCATATGTTTGATCGATACGGCACAGTATGTAACTGCCGTCCTCGCAACAGATCGTTAGGATTGATCTTTGATCGCTGCGGATCGGTGCCGGTCAATGCTAATCACTACGTGTCATCCCGTCAGCTTGCTGTCACTGTGCCATATTGAGCTACGAATTGACTGTAGAGCGGGGATCAACTACAGATGTTCCCTGCTGGTCCCGCCTGATTACTGCCCGCCAACGGCTGTCACAAATGAATGAAAGATGATCAGCAACGATCCATAATCACTCGTGCTGAAGATTGAAATACATTGTTTGACTTATATTATCGGCAAGTGCTTGATGTTTTCTTTGGTCTGCAAAGTATTACCATCCTCGTAGGAGATCGTAAGCAATACTACATATATATGTTTTTCATATCTTGACGTATTCCAACATTTTGTGCCGTTCGATTCTGGAGCATATTTTCAGTGCCTGGGAGAGGTACATAGAAAATATTAATGGTCATCGGTGTGGTCGATCTTCCCGACCATGCGTGGCAACCTCCGAAGAACGTGTCCGAGTCGTGGGGAGTCGACGAGTAGCATGAGAATGGACATGTACTGTATAGGGAAAATATCTCTTGTGGGACAAAGGCGACTGCAGGATTATATGGCGCTCCGCAGAACATGCCGCGGACATCAAGCGACTTCCATGGACTTCCACGGTGGAACCTACGGCTTGCCGTGGAATATAATGGAACTCCATGGAAAACCACGGGTTGCCAAGGAATATCGAATTCCATCGAATATCGAAATTTGCCACTGAGTTCCGTGGCCAAGGATGTTCGTAGAATATCAACTCCATGGCAATTCCACGTGCAATCTCCTGTGGAATTATCCGCGGGGCTCCATGGAATATCATTTGGCACCCCCAACGGCATTCTTTGGTGTTCCT